AACATTTTCCATTGGTTAGCCTCAATGTAGGAAGGTTTGTGAAAAAAAAAAAAAGAAAAAAAAAGAAAAAGAAAAATCAGTGAAATGTGGACTGGTCGACGAGGAGAGTCAGTTGTTTCTGTGCATTAACAATAATATCAGTATGTGTGGAGTTCGGGACAGGTGAGGAATCAGAGATGAAAGAATGTCGCACACCTATAGTTTCTGAACGGGTAGAAGATGGACGTAAAAATGGATAAAGAATAAAGGTCGGTATTCGTTACAAATCAAGAAAAAACGATATATATTCAGAAAAAAAAAATTAAATGGATAGAAAAACCCAGGAGAAATAATCGTTAAGAGATAAGAACGAATAAAAAGCAAGAATTTAAATATATACCAAAATTTTGTGTGTGGGCAGAATTTCATCATAGCGAACGTGAAGCCATTGTGGCTACCCTAGATTCTGCCGAATAAGCTAAAAATAAATAACGAAGAAAGTGAATGAAAGAAAGAGAAGCATATATTTTAGGGTCTATTTTATTGTCGATTCAAAGCAAATGGCTGTGAACGTCTCGAGTCGTTTATATTGAGAGGAACAACATTTTGTGAAATGACAATTCTCTTCGTAACCCGTCATATCATTCGGATGATGAAATACGTATAAAAAAGAGTCAACTAAAGTGTATCTGGCAAAATAAATTATTGTAAGAAAGATAACGATGGATAAAATCGGATATTTTTTTTTGTTTAACCAGCGACCATTTTTATTTTATTTTATTTTGAATATACGCTCTTCAATAGGGAGTTTTCAGTGATCTAAATTGACTTGGTTTATCAGGGAGTTTCGAGACTTTCAACATCATACACCTCATTACCAATCCGACCCAATCAGGGGAGATCAATCCCTGATTCCCCCTCCGCAACCAAACGCTTAGCAGAGAGTCTGGCCTTTATAATAAACTAGCAGCATGGCCCGACGTTGCCCGTGCTTGATTCAAAAATCGTACGACTCAAACAGCAATCGCTATCACTTGACTTAAAATATTTTTGCCCTTCCTTGCCTTTAAAGGAGTGCTCTTTGCCGTGCTGATGTTGCTACATGCCTTACTTCTTGCCTATCTCACACTGTGAATTTTTTATAAGCTCTATACTAAACATTAAATCTGTTACGAAAAAAGAACTAAACAAAATGAACACAAAACGATCAGTTGTAAAAAAAGAACTCGTAACTGGAAAAACCGAATGAAAAAAGAATGTTAACAACAAATACTTTTTCACACCCAACCCAGTTCTGCGGAATCAGAATCAACGTTGAGTTTAAGCAAGCGAATGAGCCAGTTGGAGTAAAGTGCCATGCAGATTTAAATTTTTCCCACTTGTGACGAATGCAGCTAGCAAGTTCAAGTGAATATGGAGGTTGTTCCCAATATGGCGAGGTTCTATCGTCCAGAATGCTTAGGGGGGTTGTGACCAGATATATTGCCGCGGTGAAAGTGCCAGGATATGTCCTGCCACAACACTCGTCTCTTCTCGTCCGCGGGGCGAACCAAACGCTGATAATACAGGTCTACAGTCCCAAGAGATCAAAACTTGATTCAAAAATCGTACGACACATACAGCAATCGCTATCACTTGACTTAAAATATTTTTGCCCTTCCTTGCCTTTAAAGGAGTGCTCTTTGCCGTGCTGATGTTGCTACATGCCTTACTTCTTGCCTATCTCACACTGTGAATTTTTTATAAGCTCTATACTAAACATTAAATCTGTTACGAAAAAAGAACTAAACAAAATGAACACAAAACGATCAGTTGTAAAAAAAGAACTCGTAACTGGAAAAACCGAATGAAAAAAGAATGTTAACAACAAATACTTTTTCACACCCAACCCAGTTCTGCGGAATCAGAATCAACGTTGAGTTTAAGCAAGCGAATGAGCCAGTTGGAGTAAAGTGCCTTGCAGATTTAAATTTTTCCCACTTGTGACGAATGCAGCTAGCAAGTTCAAGTGAATATGGAGGTTGTTCCCAATATGGCGAGGTTCTATCGTCCAGAATGCTTAGGGGGGTTGTGACCAGATATATTGCCGCGGTGAAAGTGCCAGGATATGTCCTGCCACAACACTCGTCTCTTCTCGTCCGCGGGGCGAACCAAACGCTGATAATACAGGTCTACAGTCCCAAGAGATCAAAACTTGATTCAAAAATCGTACGACACATACAGCAATCGCTATCACTTGTCTTAAAATATTTTTGCCCTTCCTTGCCTTTAAACGAGTGCCCTTTGCCGTGCTGATGTTGCTACATGCCTTATCTCTTGCGATGTTTTTTTTTCATGCTAGCATGCTAGTTAACATTCGTGTCAGTCAGCTGTTTGCTTTCACGCTAGCCAATAGAATCTTCCTGCCTATTCTACTCTCACTCTGGCCAGTAGAAAATGGCCGCAAACTACATGAAAACTGCCGTAGAAGCATGAAAAAATCGATTATTTCCACTTGATGGGAGTTGTGAAATGCAAAGTC